CCCCCCCCAATCTCCTTCCTGTCGAGACTCCCCTCTAGTATAAATCTCGACGGCCGAATGTTTTCTTAAGGGATTCTTGTTCTTTTCCGAACGGCAGAATATTTCTGAAAGGAGGTAGCGGCTACTACCTAGGGGACCTTCACCCGTGAGTGCGGTTTCGTTCAAATCGTTAAGGCGGGCGAAGTTAACGCGAGAACGAAGTCGAGGCGCGGTGCGGCGCGTGGCGTTCTGCGTCGCTTTCAGTCGCTTTTCCCCAACGAGACGAAGGCACGACGCTCCACGACGCTTCACGACGCTCGCGGCGTCCCCGTGGGAGGAAGTACCGCGTGAAAAAGAACGAGAGAGGCGAACGAACGCACGAATCGCGAGTCGCGAGTGTACGGTACGAATGATGAAATTTATAGGAGCCTCCAGGCGTTCCTGTGGGGGGTGAGAGCACGGGGGTGTCACTTCTCCCGCAGAGATCCCGTTTTTATTCCACGCCGTGCCGTGCCGTGCCGTGCCGTGGGGACGCCGCGTTCCGCTCGCGACCCGGCTGACTGACTCCCGTCGTCGCGAACGGCGACATTTCCACCTCGTAGATTTGTCCCGTCTGTCTCTGTTCGACGAACTCGACGATTGACACGTGACGTGATTGTACGGATAACGAGTGTTGTTAGCATTATCGCTGCCGGAGGTGACGATACTCAAAGAGACGCGTCGCTTTTTCTTTTCCATTCTGTCTACTTGCTAAACGAGTGAGTGTCTAAGTAGTGGAGTGTTTGCTTGAGTGAGTGAGCGGGCGAGCGAGTGAGTGAGGGAGCGGGCGAGCGAGCGGGCGAGCGCATGAGTGAACGAACGAATGCGTGAGTGAGTGAGTGAGTGCGTGCGTGAGTGCGTGCACGCCGCCCGTCTGTCTGTCCGTCCGTCTGCCTGCCTGCCTGCCTGCTCTCGCTTGTCCGCCTCCACGAAAGCGCGTGCATCCGCTGTGTGCACGTTTATATCTATATACGGCGGGCTTGTCACACGCGCGCACGCCGCACCGCGTCTATGGGCGATTTTTCAACCGGCGGCGCCCGTCCTCGCCCGATTTGCCGTCTGCCGATCGATTCGCCGACCGGTGTCGATCGCGTTCGAATTGTCCCCGGCAGCCTTATTCTCGAAAAATATATAATACGAAGATACTATTCGCTAAAACTTTTACAATGAATCTTAATCTTAAAGATTGGAGCCATTCTTTTTCAAGACCGATTCAATCTTCACTCTTCAGTGTGCGATTCCACTCCAGAAAATTTAAAGAGTAGGGAAACCTGCTCTCTAAATTCTTTGGATGCGGCTTAATTTTAATCTTGGTTCTAATTTACTTTTCATCTTTTTCGAATTTTTACAACTAGAAAAGGATGAGTTATTGAACTGAAATTAAAATTAGATTACATTGATAGAAACGGGCATAAATTTTATTTAATTAAGGGTGAAATGTCACTCTTAAAAAGATTGAAAATTCTGCCACTCTTTCTCATGACCGGCAAAATTTTCACTCTTTGGAGTGAGATTTTACTCCAAAGATGCATTTTCATATATTTTTTGAGAGTCTGAGCACTCAGGGGTGCTTTCTAACGCGATTCCTGGGGGTTGAATGTGCATCTTGAAACAAGATAAATACTACAAAAGGCGTCGACCAATGAAATTTTAAAATATTCTAATAAATTCACTCGCTTTTGTAAATTTCTCCTCGTTTCAAGGAACACAATTTTAATCCTTTTATTAAAAAAATAAGTCTGTTGCTTTTGACATTCTTTGAGAATCTTCGCTTTCCTTCTCTTCGGCGTTCAAACTTTAATAAACATTTTTCAATTTCAAGCAACGCAAACGAACCTAATAGCGTCGTGTCGTTAGGGAGGACTGTGGCGCGAGTTCGGCCTTTATATTCATGTGTGAATGTATACATATACGTGATGTGAGTTAACGTGTATATGTATCCGTTATGCGTGTGTGCGGTTTTATATACGCATATGTGCGCGCGCGCGCGCGCGCGTGTGTGTGTGTGTACATTCGCGCCTATATATTTCATTCTCGGTTACGTGCGGCGTGCGCGTGTGTATGTATGCACGGATATTGTTGTTCCGCTCCAGACCTATGCCAGACAGCCATATTGTAATTTTTTTTAACTCTACCATCGTGTCTCTCGTTAACCTAGCCCCCCCGAGATCCCGCCGTTGATCTCTTTTGTTCGCGCGATCGCGGCACTCTAGGAAAAACGGGCGGCACGCGTGTCGCTGAGGACGATCCCCCATACGAGGTAATCGAGTCGGGACTGGCCCGGCCGACGGCCGTGGCCTGTCTTTGTCTTTGTTCCGGATTGACGTTCCCGCGTTCCGCGCACGCCGCTCGGCCGCTCTTTCCGACGCCGCTGTCGCCGAGGACGACGCGTCGCGTCGCGCGTTTCCCTCGACGGCTGAAAGAGGGATCGTTCGCCCCGACGTTCACGAAAGTCCGTGAAAACGCCGCGCCGGAACGTCAGATTCGTCATTTGTTTCGTTTAATTACGGCGTCCAAGAATAACTCGCGTGGCCGAAGGAGGCCCTTCGCGCGGCGTCGGATGCGTTCCTTCTCCGAATCCGTTTTCAAGTTAGCGCTGTTGCTGCCTTTGTCGAACGGTTTTTTTTTTATACTTTTATTTTGCGGGTTTCCATTAGCGTGCCTTGTGTGAATGCGCCGCTTTGTTCAATTATTAATACCTCAAGTGATGGACAAAAATTCAGAGACGTCTGAAGAATATATTTTTTTTTGTTTTTCTTTTAAGAGCGCATTTTGAATAGTTTTTTCTTATTATCACAAAAAAAATCGTATTTATGGCGTATATTCTCTAAAGTGATTTCTGTAATAACCGGTACCGTAAGTCTGCATTTCTCGTATTTGTTGCGTTCAACATCTTCGTTTTTCTTTTTTTCAACGTCCGAATATATATTTCTCTCATTTTAAGTGCAAAAGTTTGGAGATTTCAAGTAACGCGAATCTCGTGTGTTCGAAACAAAACACAATCCTTTTGCAACAATTATTCAGTGGAATGATTCTTGTTTTTTTTTTTTGACAGGCAACTTGTCCTGCATTAAGCTACTATGGAATCTGGAAGTAACCTGCCCAATCCGGGCACTTATCCCGGAGGAGATCGTCAGCAGTTCTGTGTCTCTTGGAATTCCCATCAGTCGAACATGCACAGTGCGTTTCCAAAGTTACTCAGCTCGGAGCAGTTTGTCGATGTGACTCTTGCTTGTGACGGAGGTTCGATAAAGTGTCACAAGGTTGTATTGTCCGCCTGCAGCGACTACTTGGAACGTCTTTTGTTGGAGATCCCATGTACTCATCCTGTCATCTTTCTGAGAGACATGAAAATGTGGGAGCTTCAAGCCCTGGTTGAATTTATGTATCGTGGGGAGGTGTATGTGGAACAACAACAACTCGCTACTTTAATGCAAGCAGCGGAAGTTTTGCAGGTACTGTTTTTTGACTTTTCTGGGATGCGTTACAAAATTCAATCCGAGTATTATTTTATCCTTGTTAGTCATTGAATGTTCAGCAAGGATAAAAGATAATCGGAATTGATTGAATCAAGTTTTGGAACGCACTCCTATCTGCATCTATTTGACAGTATTTTGTATCTAATTACAGGACCGAATTAGGACTCGTGCCGTCCCTATTTGCATAATTCAATAATTTTTTTATAAATTCTTTTCAAAAATGTCGCCCCCTCCCTAATTCTGCCATCCTATGTGCTGCATAGGTGATGATCTCGGTGATGATATGGCCCAATGTTACTGAAATGCTCTAGCGTTACGCTTCAATAGTTGCATTTGGTTTTGCAAATCAGTGGCATTTGTAATCATTCTATCATTGTTTACTGAATTCGATGAATATAGAATAGAATACGGATGCCTCCAATTTGCAAAATCAAACGCACCTAGTATCCCTAGAACTTCTTTTGTTTCAACCAATTTTTCTTTAATCCTTTTAGCAGTAGTTTTATGTTAGGTCGTTATTCATAGTCGGTTTTTATTTTAAGATTTTCTTAATCACAATATCTTGAGATGCTAATGGCTTTGAGATTGGCTTATGACATCTCAAGATTATATTTAAAGTTTGAACATAAGAATCGACTTCGAATATCGACCTTAGATTGTGCTTCGATGTACATTGTCAGTATTAAAGATCTATTGTATGTGTAATGTGAATTATATATATAGATTTTTGGTACTGGCAGTGTATATTGGATTATAACTCTAGTAAAGATTATAAACATATATAAGATTTTAATTTTAATTTACGCACAAAGAATCTTATAATAAAATATTAATGATTCTTTATGTATTTTATGGATATTATATTTATTACTACTTTATAGTAGTAATAAATATAATACTATGTTAATATTGCCTTGTATGCAAAAACATATCAGGCAATATATTATATATTCTTCGATAGGTTCGTGGCTTATCCACTCAGGGATGTGATAACACGGTGAATGAGAGCAATACACAATCATGTGATTCTAATGCACCTGTCACTCCGTCGACTCCTACTCCCGGTGACAGCAACTTCAAGGTGGAGACATCATCTAACGATGAAAGTACCTCTGATTTTATCCCATGTACGGCAATGGCTAGCACAGGAAACAACTCGTCCTCTATCACACCTCCTGTTTCACAAAATCCTAACTCCTCCAACTTCGTAAATATGGAACATAGCGAAGCGCTACAACATTTAGAAAAAGCTCTTAGCGCTTGCGAAGCGACTCTTACCGAAACTACAGGAATGGTAAAAATGGAGCCGGATGAGCAGTTTGTACAACAGCAGGATGTTAAACCGTATTCCATTAGTATGGTATCCAGTAATAATTGCAATCCTAGCAGCCCATTCCCTGCGATTGAAGGTGAGCCTAAAGGTGACCTAATTTTGTATATTACATTTATGAGAGCTAAACATTTTGGTACTTTTCAAGGTTATCAAAGACGACAAAGGCGTTCGGAAGAGGAACTCAAGCAAGCTTCGGACATGGTGGCACGCGGCATGACGTTTCAAGTAGCTTCGGAAAAGTACAAGATACCGATCAGCACAATTCGCTTTTACATGGTCAGAAAGGGCATTCTGCAGAGGCGAAAACGCGGCCGCGGCTCCAGCAATCTGGGTATGAATAGCCAACCGAGTAGTCCGGCCAGTCCACCGTATCATATGATGAATTACCGTTTGCCAGAGAGCCTAAATTCCAGCCTACCGTAGTGCTGTACAAAGAAGTAGTGAGTTTTTTTAGAATTCAGTTTTGAACCGACAAACTTTTTATCGCCGCATCATAGAGCTGTTCCAGACCGTCTCGTCAGTTTTTATACTTTTAGCTCCTTTACACTGGGTTTATATTTTATTTTCTTCTTTCAGTTCACATTGCCTTATTCATTCGTAGCAGCACGTTTGCGTGCTGATTTACAAGACTACTATGTTTACAGCATATAACGTATTTTTGCATTTATGCCATTACCGACCTAGTGTGCGTTTTGGAGGTGTAGTTTTGTGTCTCGAACAGCTCCGCTCCATGTATATAAAAAAAGATACCATATGTAAAAGTTCGGACACAGCATTAAGTTAAGAAACTTGCAGGCGATCGTGTCTTACATCATATTTATGTTGGATTCAATGTCCTTAGGAAGACTGCCTGAAAAACCCAGTTTTTTTTAAGTACAAAGATGCATATTATTGTACCATGGAGTATACTGAAGTACACTGGAGTATAATCGTATACTTAGTATGTATTATATTATAATAACTCTACGTAAAGCTAGCGGCAGAACATACGCAATACATAATTCGTGGTTCACCATTCGTATGACATTTGCAAGTAGTATATACGGAAACAGATGTTTGCTAATAGAACGATTTTTCAACGAAAATATGAGAATATGAGAATTATTACGAATCGTTAGTGGTCTTTATTTGTACACTATAGTGCAAACGATAAACTAGAAATCAAGGACAGATATAGAGAGAAAGAAGAGATTTACTTCTCGGTTTTGCCATTCATATATTATTTCCGAGTTTTGAGAGTTGGAATATTTATTGTTCCTTTCGTTGTGGTAGAACTAAAGATGCAAAATTCAAGGCAACTTGATAGCTGCGTTTCTCGAAAAATTGAGCTGTGAGTGTTAGAAGGAAATCGTTCTTATACTCTTAACGTCCTCGATTTTTTTTATATTTGCGACATCTTCCAATGTCCTTGATTTACTCGGCTGTTTGGAAGGCGTTCTATATTTTTTCATTTTTTTAGCATATTTTTTCGTATGACGGATTTCCGCGAATTTATTGCGAATCAGGAATTGTGAATCATGAATTTATGCTAATGCCACGCGATATGTGGTAGTTTTTAAAGAGGCAGTTTATTTTTAAGTTTTTGGGGATTTTTTCTTGAATATAATAGAGACAAAGAATGAAGCTTGCGATTTATAATTTATATAATCATATATTGTTTTGTTTTATCTCAAGCAGAAGAAATGTTGAATAGCTATGACACGTATTGACGCTTTGTTCTTAGAGAAACAGCTACAATTTTTTAAATGACAATACTTTAAAGCTAAGTTTCTAATTTTTATTTAATAGCGTTTTCTCTTGGCTGCACTATCGCTCCTCTAATACAGCACTCAGACAGTGTATTGTGTTTCCATGGCTGATGGTAAGCGAAATCATTCGGTGTACCGTGTTTCCGTGGTTACGGTGTAGTGCAAATTTTATGCACGAAGTGGGATTTTGCTACACCGTCTCAAAGCGACATTGTAGAGCCAGTGTGACATTTAAAATTTGAAAATGGAAGTCAAGCGAGAACAGGGTTTTAGCGCAATAATGATGTAGTGTACACCACTCTAGTGTAGTGTAGCTGAGTGTAGCTGAGTGTAGCTTACACGCAACTGGTGCAGTGCGAGGCAGCACCCAGTGTATCCCAAGAGAAAACATTATAAAATTATTTTTAGATAAAAATACACTGGAACCTTGAATAGCAAACCTCGAAATAGCGCAAAAAAATCTCTTTTATGCTGTGAGTAGTATGAGTGGGAAGTAGCCAGTAGCTAAAATCTTGAATTTTATTGTTTTGGAATGAAGTAAGAGCAATCTCGTTATAGCGTTTACACTTCCCAACTGAGCGTTATTACGAGGTTTCAGTGTAAATCTGTATAGATTTAAACTTTCAATATAATCCTGTAAATAACTTGAATGTGATCTTAAATAAAAAAAGGTAAATTAATTTTTTTCTTTAGATATTTGACGCATCAATTTGATAAAATTAGAACAAAACAAGTTTTTAAGAAAATATTTTTTTGGAGACTTTGAAATAAGCTGTCTCTTTAATATTTGTTCTCGTATAATAAATACATTGTACGGGAACTCCATCCGTCATCCATCATGAATTAATATCGAAAATATTAATTCCATACTTATAAGTGCTTGCGTTGTAATGGCGTCATACTTATAAGGGAAATCACACTAAAGATCAAAATATTAGATCGAGCGTTGAACAAATATGTTTAAAATCTTATTATTTTGAGACTTTTTTATACGCAGGATTTGTATGTAAGCGCACTTAATGAGACGTTCATTGACGAGAATACAAGTTGTATAGGATATTCATATATCTAAGATAAGAATTCCTTCATGCTGTGGACGAACGCTACGCGTATGGTTAATTATCAGCCGTGTTCCGTTCTTCTACTTAGTGACCGATGTAGCTAGCCTATATGGATAGTGTGAGACGTTTTTGAATCCTGCATCAATATCGTTCGTGACAAGGCGAATTTACAAAATACAGTTCAAAAAAAAAGAAGAAAAGACAAAAAAAAACAGAAAAAGTGAAAAAGAAGATTGACTATGTCATATAACCGATATTTTTTTAATGACCTCGAAATGTTTTGACGGGAAGGCATTGGTAGCATAAGTTATTTTTTATTACATCATATTTATATATGATTCAGTGAAGCTCAGCTTGCTCTCGATAAGTTATCTGTGGCATCTGTACACATGTACGTATTTATCGAGTATTTATCTTTCCGTATTTTTAAATATGCCCCACGGAGGGGTAAAGAGATTCTTAATTACGACACGCTTTATGCCCTGCACCAGAGAGTGACGCTTAAAGATCAAAAATGTATACAGTTGTAGAAAGACAAAAAGACTTGTCCATGATGATCGATTAGTCACTATGTTTAAGACTGGTAACACGTGGCTAATATAACCAGATTAAAGTCTTAGAAAACAGCAATCCTCAATCTATTATATAAATATTTTTGTAGGCACTTTGTCGAGGAAGGTTTCTTCTTTCTGCCTTTATTCTATATATACCTTGATAACTTATACAGTAAGAGGAAAACCGGTATTTATTCGAAGTTTACCATTTAGCTTTGTTGAACATCACAAGAGATGAACGATCATGACGTATGTAGTGTAATGCTTTTTACATGCATAGTGTACAAATAACAGCATTTGTAATTGACGATAAGAATTACCTGATGTCTGTAAAAATCGGGGAGCCTCTCGTTTTTACGGACACTGGTTCTGCCTTTTCAAAGAAGTTTAATTGTGTGACAACAACTGTGGCGCGCATACAATGTAATTGTACGATGTATTGCCTTTGTTAAATAGCATTTTGGATAAAGCCATATTTTTCCATGCAACGCAATAATCCAGCAAAATAAATTACAGTTAAACTGAGAAGCAGCCTAAAATAGGAAAGAGTGCCAGATACAAAACAAAAGTGGATATGAACAATAACACATAGAAGATAAAGTAAAGTTTATCTATCACTTAGAGTATGTAACTGCCTTTCTCTGGCCTCATACTGGATCATTAATTTATTTATATTAGACAATATACAAGATACATGTAAAGGAAAAAACTAATCTAACTTAGAAGGCTTGTTAGAGCTTCTATTAATTGCAGTAAGACTGCTGCCATCCGACTGATGAACACATTCTCAAGAAGCTAAAGTTGAACATTAATCGAAACATATGTCACAGATCTTACATAATTGTATTTATTCTCATTTATCATTTCTTTATGCGATCATTACGTATTTAACAGACTCGATTATCTCTGTACATTTCACAATATAGCGATATATCGGAAAAGGAAAGGAAAGAGAAAGGAAAGAGAAATAAGTCGCATATTGGATATTGTGATGTTAATGCGAACTAAAAACATGACTTGCAATTGTTGCCTGTAATGTCCAATAAGAGTTGAATTGTAATGACTTACTCGTATATAGCATTCTTTCCAACAAGGAATCGGTATCGTGTAAATCATTATTCTAAGAGTTCCAGTTGACAAAGGTTTTATACGGATATATTAAACCAGTATTTCAAACCAATGAAAAATAATTAGTTTTCTAATAATAATAATACAATACAATTTTATGTGAATTTAGTACAGTGCTTAAGTCAGTAATGCTCAGCGTTTCTAACAGATATTTTTAGTGGAACTCCGTGTCATACTCACATGTATCATAACGTCTTAAAGTATGTAACTAAACCACAATCAAAGAAGTGTGAACGATACTTAATGACTATTATCATAATAGCCACTTATGATAGCAGTAAATAGGTAGCCATTTTGAGGCAGTTTATATTATATTTAATTACACTGTGTATCGCTTTGGTCTCTCCGTTTTTACGATGGTATTATTATTTGTAGATAGAATCATAACTCTAGAATCGATTGAACCTCGTATCATTTATTTGTAAGTCTTTTTTACAGTTACCGAATATCTAATGGATTAAATAGGCAATGCAATTAAAACAAGAAAGAAAAAAAAAACATGTAATACACACATACACACGTGACATACAGAGATCTGTTTGCACAATCAATACGACCGTGATGGATATTTTGTCGCTTAATTTTTGTTAACTTTTGGACCATATATATATATACATATATGTGTACATGTATATGTAAGATTACATTGAGTTGGCAACAATACCACTTATATTGACGTAGTAGTATTTTTATATTTTGTTTTTAGCTTAAGTTTTTATTTTTAGTGATTTGATATGATTACTTTATGATCTGTACGCAGTAAAACTTTCCGAGGTAATACTTTCTACGAGAATCAAGGGCACGTTAAAATAAAGCAGACATTGGTTCGTGTTCTGCGGAAGTATTTTCGACATTCGCTTTTTCTATCATAATCTTGTATTACGTCGGGAAGCGTTACTCCCATAAACGTAATAAGTATAGACTAAGCATTCTTACTTCTAATTGAAAAGCGATCTATGTAATTAGCTGCATTCTCTTTCTGACGGAGCAGATTAGAGATGAAGATTATACTATATACTATACTTATCAGTCTATACCTATTACGTAATTTCTATATTAGTTGTGCCGATTTAACATGTTTAATACGTTAGTCAGTTCTCATTAATATGTTAGTCAATTGCATTCAATACGACAGTGTATTCAATAATCTTAAGAAGTGAATTAGTAATACATAGTTGCTTGCCTATTTACGACAGAAATTACGTGCTTTGATGTTTCGTGAATGAGTTGTGTAGCAACAATAGACGAATTGACGAATTGTAAACATTCAGTTTTCTAATTGTAAAGTAACGAATCTAATACGTTATTATTATTAGGGATTTGTATGATGTATCAGGATTATCAATGCCATATTACGCCGAATCGCCGCCGACGCTTCGATCATTGTTCTCCGAAGTTACTCAGTTCCGTTCGCAGTACTCGCGCGACACTGTCCCGAGCGATTCAGTATTATATTGTACATCACGTGCGAAAGCCTTCGACTGCGTCCCGTTTAACGGTTAGATCCTTAAGCATTAGATCCTGTAGAATAGTCCTATTAGTCACACTTATTATTACTACACGAATGTATATTTTGCGCTGTTGTGTCGAGAGTCCGTATTCGAAGACGCTCCGCAAGTATGGATCCAAGAATGAATCCAAGAGCTACGAATAAACGTGAGCTGAACATAACGTTCGCTTTCCCCTTGATGTATCTACAAGAAATGACGATTGGCGCAAATTTAATTAATCTAATTAATCGTTTCTATTCGCACATTGATACACATTGAAGCAAGCTCGTTCGTTTGTTCGTTCACGTTTATTCGTGCTCTTTGCTTTATCGGAATCCACTTGGGCGTACTAAAATCTTCGCTTTCGAGTGCAATATGTCGTTCGACATTTCGTCGCACCACGCCGAAAAAAAATTGATTGCTCGACTTCCCAATTGATTATTCATTCGTCGCGTCTCTTTCTCGTCGAGAACTGTTCTTTGGCATGGCAGTATGAATATGTTTCGCGTACGACTATCGGTGACGGAGTGACGATGTGTCTCTATATCGAATTGTTGTTGTCGTAAGCGCGATTTGAATACGGGCGAGAAGCGTGCGGATTCAGTGTAATACGGCAAAATATACGTGTAAGCGAAAAATACACGTGACACACACACACACACGCGCACACATACACTGATTACAGAAGAGACATATAAGGGACGAGGAATGAAGCAGAGCGAACTCGTCCCGCGACTGTAATACAATTCGCAGAACGTATCGTGCCGTTCGGTTTTTGCTGATCGCAACAAACCAGCTTTTATAATTCGCGTGTAAGATCACCATCAGGGTGTAAGATCTTAATTAAAATCGGTTACGTGGTCGTTATAGTAAGGTAAGGTACTGCGTATATATCGAGAGGGTCAAAATTGAGAGAAAAGAAGATGGATCCAGTGAGAATAATAAAAAAGCTGAAGAACAGAGAGAATATTAAGTGTATGACTCTTAGAATGTAATTTTTGAGCGTGGACAGATCGGAGTTGCGTAGGAGAGAACGGGTCTTTCCGGCGCAATGGAGATGTCTTGACGGTCGTGTGTGTACATGAGACATTTTTGAAAGTAGCCCTGACTTCCGTGAGAGAGAGAGAGAGAGAGAGAGAGAGAGAGAGAGAGAGAGAAAATTAAGAACGATTAAAGACATTGTGAAAGCATGCGTCATCCGAAAGAGATGTACGAAATCTGCGTTTGTCGCCGACGATTCGCGCCGGTTTATTCGATAACTATTATTTTTTTATCCTAATTACTATTAACTTCAATAACTACATAGATATATGTATGTATTTATATATATATATATACAATATGTATACATACTTATGCATATATATATATATATACAAGAGATCTATTTTTTTTTATTGTTACACTTTCTGAACTGGTACACGCAGTGCAAATATATGTTTGTTTCACTTCAACTTATTG